ACTAGCCTTAGAAGGTAATAAGATACGTCCGTAGCACCATCGCTCGCCAATGATTTGTGCTCTACAAAGTGATGTCTCGGTGGACACCTCACTCATTGACTGACTACAACATGATTATCTGCGAAAATCCGCTGCGACGGCACAGGCAGTTCTTTCTAAAGACATGCATCGCTGGGGATAGGTTTTAGGTCTACTACGAGAACAATCCACTCCACGCCTACTGGCTGCCTCGCGGCAAAGATCCGCCACCTCAATCAGAGCTCAAAATCCATGCTCGTAGTATTATGCTCATAGTTTTATGGGATTGCTGGGGCATGCTGCTTTGGGAACTGTTCGACAACAAGCAGATAATCAATTTCGATGTCTGTGGCAACAACAAATCCGGAAGTTGGCCGCAGCATCGCGAAACAGCGTCCGAAACGGCTCAGTTTCGACCTTTTCTAGGACAACGCTCGAACACCCATTGCAAAGATCGATCGCCACATTTTGTAGAAACTAAGCTGAATCACGGTGCCACATTCAGCGTATAACCCGATATGCTCCATCGAATTACATCTATTCGCGCTCTGTAACACCATTTGTGACAGGAACTGAAGGACTACAACCAACTCAAAAGTGACTTCGCCGAGTTCATTGATCACCAGCCTCGTTCTTTCCCCGAGGAAGGCATCCAGTCTTTGCTCAATTTTTTGTCGACAATTCAAATTTGTTGTCTTTGCTCAATTTGCTGTCGATATGTCGACCAACAACATCTTCAGATGGAAATCCTACGAAATTCATCAACTCAAACAAAAACGGTTTCCGGTGACATTTTCCTCGATCAGATAGCATTTACTTACATATCAGCCTGAACAAGAAGAGCTTTTGGTGAACCTTCCAGTGACACTTTATCAGATGGAGCGTTTGTCTTCATTCCTCATATAAGCATGAGCCGAAACACACTGGGGGTAGTCTGGTAGTTCCATAGCTTCAATGTACCCGTGTTTCACTTATTCACCAATTTCGTTTATATCTATTCACTCATCTACATGTCGTCAGACTGCTATTGTATTGTTATTACTGCTATGAACAGTTATGACCCAAACGTGAGTTGTCTCCGTGCTTACGTGAAAAGATCCGCGTGGCAAATTAGCACAAAGATCAAGCAATCTACTTCCAGTCAATAATTATAATGTGCTAACAACTAACTCGAAACTCAGCACTCTCCATTGAACAGGCAATACACTCAAAAAGTTACGATCATTGATCATGATGGCAATTTTATTGTTGGTTTATCAAAACAAATACCTACTTAATCAACAGAAGTGTCGGACTACAGAACGGACTATGAGACAATCCATTATAATACCTGGGCTGCGGCAGTCACGCCGCTCAAAAACTCAGGGCCCTTATACGACCCGTCACAGGCCTCTATCCCTATGGAGTCGGGAAGCTTCCACTAGTCTTGTATGGAATGAGTCTTTCTCCGTTCTCTCCTTTCTCTCTCTCTCTCCCTCTCTCCTCCTTTATATAGGATCTAAAAAAGTTGACCCGTGCGTGTGATAAAGATTTGAAAACGCTATATTACAGCTATTCTGCGACTTTGAAAAGAACTGACTCATCCAAAATCAAACAACATTCAGAAAGTTGGTCAAAAATGTTCAACAAGTTGTACAATCAAGAAGTATCCAAAGTAACAAGAAGAATGTCATAAATGTGTGCAGGCATTGCATGTAATGAAATGAATTGAATGCAGGAATCGCTGAAATCCGCAACTATGTAAGAATGTGACTTTCCTCCAATAGCTTGCCGTTATCGTTGCTGGCTGTTTTCCTAAGTGTCCAAATGCATTATTATTAGCAACACTCTTAGTACCATATTGATGTTTCGTCTCGGTCACCGATTGTGCAAAGCGCGATCAAATGGCAGTATAGTACTTTTAGATGAAATTTGTATTATAGTCGCCACTAAAGAGGCTTTGTCGCCAGTGAATTATGGCTTATGATAGAAAAGACTTCAACAAAGCTATCGGTAGTAGAAACAACGCCAACGCTTTCTCTAAAACTCCGCATTTTTAGGGAAAAACCAGATACTTACGAAAAGGTCGTATTTCGAACTGTTACTTAACAGTCTTATGATATTTTATTTATAATCACTCTTATTTCAATCATATCCATTTTCCATTTCTTGCTTCAACAAAAACTCTCGTCCATGATCACTACAATTCAGTAAGTTGTCGAGTAATCATTTGAATTAGGTTGAAAAGAAAGTTCTGGGGCACTTGGAAAAATTGCAAATCATGCATGAAATCCAAACAAAAACAATAAAAACTATTCTTCAAAATAGAAGCCATCGTTTTCTACGACTTTCTGCCAGTGGTTCGTTATGTTTCGGATCCGGCTCCGTTTCCAAAACTGTCATTCAGTGGTTTGTTGAGCAACTGGCGAATAGTTTCGACTCTTTTGGCGCCTTGTGTTTCAGAGTTCGTGCGGATCTTGTCGTGGCTTCCTGTGGACAAAGTTAAGCTGGTGGAGATGAAATAGCGCAATTGTATGAGAAATATCAAGTTCGGTTGCCAATTCGCGAGCACTTGACGGCGGTTCATTTTCCAAAGCAACGATCAAAATTTCGTTGTTCCACTTTGTTGGGCGTCCTGAACGAGGCTTGTCTTCAAGGTCAAGATCTCCGGCATTGAAGCGTTGAAACCAGAGTCCTACAGCAGATTTGCTTATTGTGCTTTTGCCCTAGACTTCGTTGACTTCATCGATTGCAGCTCGGTGTGGTAGACTCTTCCTACATTAATGACGCAATAAAACACGGTCATCGATTGTATAGTTGGACATGGTGAGACTTGCAACGAAGCGAATATAAAAACAAAGAACATCTGGACCTTCAGTCGAAAAATTCCACGTAAGAAACCGGAATACCCTCAAGACATGTATGGGATTTACTTCAAGCTAATTGAAGTGCCCCGAAGCTTTCTTCCCAACCGTAGTATTATCATACTGATTCAATCAATCGAGCAAAAACCGATTCCATGCTCAAATTAAAGACCTTGATAGTTTACAGACGCTAAGAAGCAAGTAGGAGAAGTATAGGGATCTCGACACTTTGCGAGAACGGGTCATGTGAATCTTACAGGAAAACATATAACTTTACCCTGTAATACGGGCAGTAGTCAGCCAGTGGCTCCAGTCCGGTTGCAACATTGATGGAATTTCCATTGGCATCTTTAAAAAGACTTGGTATATTGTAGTCATATTCGGATGGTATGTTATTAACATCTTTTACGAGATTACACCGGACTTTCGAGTGACGATTCTTGCTACATCTGAAATACACTTTGTAAAGAATTTGAGTTTCTTGACATCAAACGAGTCAGTAAGGGACTGTTTGAAGAATCTGCATGATAAACAACATTCTGCATCACAATAGTGCAAGGTTGTTAGTAATTAGAATTAAATTAATAATAGAAAGTTACTAAGTAAAAACTGAGAAAAAGTTGAATACTATGAAAGCCTTCAAACCTTGTGTCACTCTGCCAAGCACAGAATGGGTATTTATTGTTTTTCAACCATGACAAGCAGCTCTTTTTTGCAAAATCACAACCGAGCCCTTTTCCCCATGTCATATTCTCAGCTTTCCTAAATATAATACAGCCCAAATGTTATTGCCACCTTTGAACAAAGTGATTTATCCCTTAATTCTCTTTGTAGCACGTTGCTGCTAAGAAGACAACAATGAAGAATACTCACGTGTAGTTAACCTGATACCAGCCAGAATCCTCGAAAAGCGCAAGAGTCAAACGTGAGATCGCAAAAACTTGTGTGGAAACGCCACTCATCGCCTCATTCTTAAACATTATTGTTCTAACCAATGGTAATTGAAGCCGTTCATGAAGCCATCATATCGCTGTCATCAATCCTTTCAAAAATTAATCTTTTCTAACGCAGAGATAGAGTGCCCCACATGTACAGTTCCATTGGCTTGACTCTACGCCGACGTAGCCAAGCCTTTTATCCCTCAATAGTTGAAAATGGTGCTGAATTGTGCAGAACAACATAATCACCCCTTTATACATCAGTGGGACATCAAAAAAACATTGCAAAGACAAAATAAGATTCATTTACGTCTACAACACAGCGAATGGAGTTGAATGCATGACACATTTCTGACAGGTTGATAAACACTGAGCGCACTATGGTCTGCAATAGCTTTGATGCCCATAAAGTGAGATTGTCAAAGCCAAAGTGAGGTCTGAATATTTCTGGGCCTAATCTGGATAAATTTCTTTGTATTCATTTCTTTTTTCCTACAAAACGTACTGAAAGGCAAAAAATCTGTGATAGTCTAAATAAACCTCAAACACACGCTTCTCCCAGTGAGATGCAATCGTGCTAACGCTGCCTTGATTCTCAATCTCGGCACCCTCCAAACTTTCACAGCCAAAGTATTGACGAGCTTCTTGTCTTACACGAGGTGTTACAATCATGTAGACGTCATGAGAGATCTGTGCACAATGAAATCTAGAAACTGATAGGAATGTGAAAAAGATGGATAATATCAGTTATCTCGTATACATACATTTCCTCTTGCAACCTCCCAATCCGTTCGAGTGAATTTCTCAACAATTCCTGGTATAATCGGAAGTGGATCAGTTCTAAACATAAGCTAACTAGGTTCTTTTATTTGAGTTATTTTGTACAACACCCTTTAGTTTTGGAATTCTTTAACTTTAAAACAGTAAGCATTGGATAAATAGAGAGTCTCCTATCATGCATTGCGAAGTCATCGTTTCAGCGCCGAGCTTATAGGAGCTTCTTTGTGTCAAGCAGCCGCCACAATCACAAGTATCTTACACAATCTACAAAAAGAAAACTATTTTCTGCACCAGTCATGATTTTTATATTTTTTGAACTAAAGTGTTTAAAACTCAGAATTTCTAGCGTTTTTACTTCCTTTTTCGCAGTTCTATGATGTTTCAAATATTCCTAAGAGAATTGAGTGGTGAGCAAAAATACAACCTCAGACGGAAGTCGAACCCGCATTTCATCCAAACTGCGGACCGTGCTACCACTACACCACCGGGGCACATTGGCGCCACCGCTCATACTTGTCACAATGGCTGTCAGCTCAATTGAGTTTATGAAGCAAAATCGCATAACTGAGCAAACCTGTTAAAGTTTGGTGGCTGGGAGCTATCATAGAGATACTGAAAAATGAATGGTACCGCAAATGTACCAACGTGGTGTAGTGGTAGTACTTGTCCCGGTACGGAATGAAACGCGGGTCCGACTTTCCGACTTTCATCTGAGGTCGTATTTTTGCTCGCCACTCAATTTCATAGGAATAACTGGAGTATTTAACCAAAATCTTTTTCTATAAAAAGTTTTGTCGCCCCGATTTGTCAAATTATTATGATGAACGATGCAAATATCATATCTGGAGTATAGTAACTGTTTGCATGATTATTAACGATGGCTCCTACACTGCTGCGCAGTGGAGTAAGTAAGTGAATACATTGTTGCTCATAGTCACTCAGTCAGCTTTTTCCCTACATTTGAGGCCCTCATAACTTATGCAAGGATCCGCCTTAAACTCAATTCATTACGTAAACGGGTTGTTTCCGGTCATATGGGAGCAGGATAAATATTAGACCTCATTCGCTAGAGAGGACCTTTCCTAGGAGCCTTAGTAAGCATTCGAAAGCTTGAATCTCCGGCTAGAGCCACACGTAGGCGATTTTTGAAAAGATTCTTTCATAGCGGTATAAAATCCAAAAAAAATTATGCTTCACACGCGTATATATCTCGACGGACAGAGCTCGTTTTTCTGGACCATCACTAGTCAATCGAATGCGTAAGTCTTACTAAATCCAACGCTGTGCTTTTTTTTTTGAAAAGATCTTTTCTCTGCAGTGCAACAGGGAAGATAAAATTCAAATCCCAAGTGTGAGCTAGTGATTTTTGACCAATACTGGGTTGACTCAATGATCGATCGATTTCCGATCAGTCTTATGGAAGTGCGATCTTTGTTACGCAATTAGAAAGTCTTTCTCCGCTTTGAAAGAAAATTTTTAGATAAAACGTATGCCTCTGCTGCGAGGAGACTTTAAATACTTTCAGTTTGGCCATGATTACGGAAAAATCAGTCGTCATTATGATCACTCTGATGGGATTCAAAAGGCGAGAACGTCTTCATTGCTTTCAACAGTGAATCGAACCTAGTCGATTATCATGAGATAATCGTAGATCGTACCATGAGATTACCATGAGAATACCAGAATACACGTCCATTTGCTCAAAAATCGATCGATCATCGCACCAGCCCATGTATAGCCTCAATCAGCGGTCCGTGAATTGTCCAAAGATCACTTGCTCGCGCATGTAAATTTAATCATATTTTGCTGTACTGCACAGAAACTGTCTTTTCACAGAATAAACCCAGAATTGCAATCATTGGAATTTACGCTATCGAGTAATTACTTATGGTCTATAAAAGAGTTCTGTCCAGCGAAAAATATGCTCCTGCGAAACATTATTTTATTCTAAATTTGCACCGTTATATAAGTGTCTTTCTAAAAAACGGTCAGGTAAGGGCTTCATCCAGAAATTTAAGCTTTCGAATGATTACTTACACTCCTATGAAAACTTCTTGCTCATCAAGCGGGGTCTTTTCTTCATCTTGTCTCTTCGTAATCGAAAAGAACCCGCAAACATGAATAAATACATTGGCTTACATAGTCACTTGCTTAATCCCATCGCTGCACCAAACGTGCTGTGCTAACCCCAGCAGTCGTAGAGTTAACGAGTAGCCCTGGACAAACGATTGGATCAAAGGGTGCAGTGTGTAATGCAGCTCATTTCTAACCATTACTTTGCACAGCCTTCATAAGCCGTTGCAAATTTCCTAATGAGCAATTTTAGTGACCAGCAATAGTCATCGGGCACTCAACACGAAAATCACCGCAGTAAAATCTTTCAAAATTTGTAAATCGCTCACTGAATAGGTGGTTTCGCACCAATGAAATTTTTAAAATGTGCTATTGAGAACACAAGGGCATGTATAAGTTCGTGCTTAATTGCTGAAATCCATTGCGATTTTTCATTTCGTTTCATCTTGTTGAACGAAACTGGACAAATGTTTACAAAGGCGGATGTTGGCCTGAAACAGAGGGGCTGTTTAAGAAAAACGATCTTTTCTTTTTGATCCTTCTTCATAGCATTTTTTTTCTCGCTGCACAGATTCCACTGCTTCTGGCATTCAGATTGTTATTTCATCTTCCTGGTGAACGTCGCAAAATATTGGATGAACACGTCTCCTTGCAATCTCGATAATAGCTTGCCTGCGCCGTTCCATAGGACATTCCTTGTTGACTGCCGGAGTGTGCTGGGGGCGGAGTTTAGCCCGCATGTACCACAACGAGCATCACAACCACTCAGCCACGGCCCAGGAAGACAACTATTAGGTGTACAAATATGACTCCACCGTTCAATTATTTTCCCTGTAATAATTGCAAAAATAATGGTGTGAAAAAGTTATTTGTTCGTTCGAAAGTGCGTTAGAAACGCTATTTGTTTCTATGTTTTTTATACACAAAATATTATATATGATGCCTTTCTTTTCCAGTGTTTTCTTAAGACCACGACCTTCACGAAGGGTACCGCCCGACTGATGAGATGACCCGATGTCAAGGTCGAAACACGTGTATCGGGCTCTATAAGTCTGCCCTATAACAGAGCACATGATATGGTGGCTCAAATAATAATTATGAGATTTTCTATAATGGTTTTGATAGGACCTTGAATATGACGATATTTGAACTCGAAGAACTCTATTACGGGAGGCTTTAGTTTTCATGTTCAATGAAAACCCACCGCCGACGAAAGGAAGATTCTTTTGCATCGCACAGTGGCCGGAGACGAAAAGTGGTTTAATTTTAACGGTCCAAAGAGCATACGATCATGGATCGACCCTGGACATCTAGTAAAATCGACCGCAAAACAGAGTATTAACGGAACCAAGGTCAGATGTCATTTGGTTATATCAGAAAGGCGTCGTCTACTACGAGCTCTTGAAATCTGGTGAAGGTCAATTCTGCACTCATCAACAATAATCAACCAAATTAAATCATAAGTTGCTAATAGAACGACCGGAATGGGCCTTGAGACACCGCAAAGTTATTCCGTTGCATGATAACGCTCGACTTGTGATGCAAAACCTGTCGAAAATGTCATAAACGGCTGAGGTTGGAGGTTTTAGGTTTCACCTTACCTGCCTTCCTCTAGACATCGCACCGTTATATTACCACTTCAAATTAGCAAATTCAAATTACAAATTAGTCAATTTAGAAAGGAAGTTTTACCAAATTTTACTTATCAAATTTCTCTTCGATAGCATTCACAAATTAACCAAAAATTGGGAGATTGTTATTGTTGATGATGGGAGTTATATCTGAATGAACTTCAGTATAAAATGTTTTCGTATAGATATAATGCCGCAAAAATGGCGGAGTTATACTTGTACAACTAATAGAACCCAAGAGAAATTCGCAGAAATTGCAAGCAGATAACTCAATCACCATTCTTCGTAATGTGGGAAACAGATATGGTGATAATAATTTGTTCGTAATTTGGTAGAAGAAAATAAATGTTTATGACTAAAAGGACAATGTGGACTTTCTGGATACTGTATATTGCCAACAAGTGATCTTCCTTGTTGTCAATCTGAGTTGATAAACCTCTAGAGGGAGAACCTATACCTTTTTGTCATTGGATGTGATGAACAGCTTGAAGCAAGAGCTAATGTCCCACTTGAGCACAAATCATTATTTACAGCAACGAACACAGCAAAATCCGTATTTCTCAAATGTCCTGAAAGAGAATGATTTGCCTCAATCATGCAAACATTGTCTCTTTACGTGCTTTTTCGTTATCTCCACTCTGTTTAACCTCTTTGGTGAAAGCGTATTCTTTGCTTTTATTCAAAGTTTAAGTAGTCAATCGGTAGTTGAAATTAGGTGAATTTAAAGGGCTTATTCCATTTCTCAAATGGTTTGTCTTTTTATGCTCTAACAGTCGAAATAAAATTTTGTTTCGCATTCAAGGATTTCTCACCGGATAAAGATTTATCTATGAATAGACGGTAGTCATTCGATAGCGCAAACCTCAGCGATTTCACAGTTCTAGTTGGTTTTGGAATGGCTCCTTAGAGCGCTGTATCAGTCAAAAGAAGATTGGGTGTCGCACTCCAGAAAGATATTTTGTGATATTGGCTTCAAGTCCCCGTGCTTTTTGCAGTATATCGATTGCGAGCAAATCCCTCTGATGTAGAGTGATGTGCAGACACTTGCGTCAGGCGAGACTCGAACCCACACTCAGTTTATCCGGAAGTGCATGCTCTAACCCGTTACACTGCGACGCCCTTTTTGCACACCACTTTCTACGCCACAACACTTTTTACGCTGCAACACATCTATCTGTCAACCGCCAACCGTCAACGGCGTGATCCAGGTAGTCGGTATTGACACTGTAGCCAGTCAAGCTGACAAATCTTGGTATAAATGAAATCTTTTCATTTAACCATTTGGGAACCATATGGGTCATATTAACCCATGTTCGTGTCGTCGCGCACCAGAGTTTTATACGGCACAAGCATAAAAAAATGGAAATTGGGGATATTACGTGGTAAATTAAGTTTCCAAGAGAACGCTGTCACTATCCAAAAGAGAAATATCACTACAGAGAATAGTGTAAAGATTTTTATGCGTTTTTTGATTGAAAAATGCCATTTGTTGAGAAATAAGCTATTTTTCAACGACGGAAACCACACCTTTCCAGAAACGAGCATGTTTCCAAAAGTTATATGACATTAGTTCCTTTTTTTGCTCATGTTTTATGAAGCCGTTTGATAGCATGAAAAATGCCGATTCTTATGGTATGCTTGGTTTGTGATTCAACTATTATCACCACGTTTTCGCAACCAACAAAATAGAAGGTTCTGCAAACGTTGTCCATTTTTTGGACATCACAGCAGAATTTTTGTTGTCATATAGTGATATTTTAAATTGGATTAGATAGAATAGTACTGAA